AAGAGATAATTCCGGGCAATGTTAATACTGATATAGTATGTTTAATATCATTTAACTCTAATCTTGATTTTCAACCTGTTGATAAATTAATATTATGATTTATAGGAGCCAAGGGACTATTTTAGTGCCTTGATAGAAGTGCGTATTATGTATATTGATACGATCGCTACCTTTATAAGTGATAATAATTTTATTACTTCACTAGATAAAGTAATGCAAATACTAATTTGTATTTTATACAATTATATAAAGTATTATTTCATTATTATTGTAATAACAGATTATCATAATTTTCAGGTGTTTCAAAAAATTGTTAATAAAAACCATATTACTGGAGACACAGCAACTAAATCTCCAGAATTATTGGCCCAGTTTTGTAATTCTTTACTTAGCAAGAATTCTGATAAAAATGACTTTGAAGACATTGTAAGTAGTATTCACATTTAGCAAATTTAAGAACCTTAAATTAATGAATTTTACTGCTGTTTAAAACTTTTTAGATGACTTTATTTAAATATTTGGAAGACAAGGATATTTTCATAAAGTTCTATTCAAAGATGTTAGCAAAACGTTTAATACGTGGGACATCACTATCAGAAAATGCTGAATATAGTTTGATATCTAAGTTAAAGGTTAGTTATAATAACATGCGTACTTGTTTTCTAGATTTAATAAATAATGATGTTTTGTTTTTTTGTAGAAAATATGTGGGTTTGAATATACTTTAAGATTAGAGCGAATGCTCACTGAAATAAGATTAAATAAAGATCTTAATAATCAATTTAAAGATTACTGTTTTACGAGAATTAATGAACAAGGCAATTATATTTTAAATATATAATATAACATTTTATTTAATTTTTAAAATGCTCATTTTTGTATGTCCTACCTCTATGCTTTAGTCGACTTTTCTTTTCTTGTTTTAGGGTCATTTTGGCCACTTAAGACATCAATAACAAGTTTTATTATGCCAGAAGAGGTAAATAGAATAAGAAATACATTATAAGTTTATTTTAAATATATTTAATGTTCTTTTGATATTAATTAGCTTGAAGAAAGTTTTAAAAATTTCAGGATATTTTATCATAGTAAGCACTCAGGCCATAAACTTAATTGGCTACCCCATCTTTCAAAGGGTGAATTAGAAACTAATTATTGTAAAAAGCCTTATAAATTCATGGTCAGTAATCGAGTGTCTTGTAATTAATTGCTTGTTTTTAATAACAATATAAGTCATTTTTACCATAAAAAAAATCTATTATATTCTAGGTATCTACATATCAAATGAGCATTCTTTTACAATACAACAAAAATACATCATATACCTTCAAAGAATTAGAGCAAAAAACAGGTTTAAATGATCTTACCTTGACAGACACCCTAAAAGCTCTTGTGAAAGCCAAAGTACTCAAGCTTTCTAATGGCACCAAATATAATGGACCTCGATATGAACTAAACATGGCATTTGAAAGGTATATTGTTTATTTTAAAATGCTTAAAAGTTTATTTAAATTGAAGATTTAATGATAAAAAGCCATATTTAATTTGTATACTAGCTATAAAACTCGTATTCTATTAAATGGTTCAATTATTTTGGAACAGGATGAAGATAAAACTCAGAATGCCAGTGATGACAATGATAGGCTTTTGATAATAAAGGTTTGTAAATTTAAATTGACTATATATATATGTGTGTTCTATTTATAATAAGGTATAATTAATTATAAGTTCAATTTTATTAATTCTCCTAGAGAACCATTGTTGAAATTATAAAGACTAGAATAAGGATGGGATTTGTTGCTCTAGTTAGAGAAGTAATTGATCGATTTGATCGATTTCCAAACCGATATCGTTTCAAACCTAAGGTACCTGATATTAAAAAATGTATTGGTATTTTGATAGAAAAGGAATATATTGAACGTAGTGCACATAACAAAGACATTCTTTGTTATCGTGCTTAATAGTTTTGTTAATAATAATTTGATACATATTAAATAATCTGAAGATATTAATAAAGCTTTTAGTTTTTTTTTTTTTAATGAAATTTCAAAAAAGGAAGAATATTGATTTAAACAAGTTTAACAACTTGTAAATATGATTTTTATATTTAATCGAGCACTGTGCTATAGTATTAGGGTACAATCATTAAATGAGTTTAAATAAGTTTCAGCCAGCAAAAATCTGCAATTCTAAAATTAGATTATTATAATTTTCATAACTAGAAATGGTTTTTACGATGAACTTTATCGGTGAAATGGCATGTTCTCAAAAATACTTTAAACTATAAAATAAGTTACCCGGGCAATTTTTTTACATCAGCCAATCACATGAATGTTCATAGGAAGACTTTCGTATGATTGGCAGTTTAAATCAATTTAATTTTACATTATTTATACAGTTAAAAGTACTTTTTAAAAAAAAGAAAACTACGAAGAATAAACAAAAAAAAAGTATATAGAAAATTTTATTAGGGTTGTAGGACTCTACTATTAAAAAGTATCTAAATCCCTTTTTGTTTTAGAGAAGTTAGCATAATAGCGAATTCTTAATGATAGATAGAATTAGGTTATCACCATGCTAACTTCTCTAAAACAAAAAGGGATTTAGATACTTTTTAATAGTGGAGTCCTACAACCCTAATAAAACTTTCTATATACTTTTTTTTTGTTTATTCGTAGTAGTTTTCTTTTTTTTAAAAAGTACTTTAAACTGTATAAATAATGTAAAATTAAATTGATTTAAAAAGCCAATCATACGAAAGTCTTCCTATGAGGTTTAAAGGTTTGCATTAATCATATTCGAGATTTTAATTACATATTATGAAAATCAAGACTGACCAGATCAGTATGGTATGAATGGTGATTTTATAAACTGTACCATACTGATCTGCTAATATAATGTTTTAGTATAGTAACAGACTAGTATGGTACGATTTTTAAATACGTATAAACTATACCATACTATATATTGTGATAATATATAAATCAAAGACTAGTATGGTACGATCTTTAAGGGGAAATCATACTATACCACTTTGGTATTATATTATAAGCTGATCAGTATGGTACGGTTTGGTAAAAATGGATCCGTACCAGACTGATCCGGTCAGTCGTACCATACTGATCATTGTAATACCTGATTCTTTTCTATAGCCAATTTTTTTGCATGAAAATTATCGAACGCCAATCAAATTTCGAGGCAGATCTTCAAATTTGACTATATATAAGGTCGTCAATTAACTAGCATAGCAGAAGTTCGTTTTGATTGGTTGTTAAGATACCCCGGAACAAATGTCGATCATACCCCGGATAGAGTACTGGCTAATCCCAGACAAAAATTTTATATCTCGCGAACTTTTAAAAAACACTTTAAGACATATTATAAATTTACAATATACTAATGCAGTTTTATATTAACAACTTTAATTTAGATTTTACAAGAGTTTTTTTTTATTTTTTTTCGCAATAAATACATATAAATGTCTACTAAATAATGCATACACGACCATTTCTAACACTACTGTTACTATTACTTGTTGTATTATAAACATTATATTCACAAACTATACTTGTATCTAAATAAATTATAATCAAAAATATTAAAATATGGTTTAGAATAATAGTCCAAAGATAATAC